TGTGCTGGCAGCTCGGAGCCTGGAGCCTGGAGCCTGCTTTGGAGTCTGTGTCTCCTTCTCTCTCTCTGTCCCTCCCCTGCTCATGCTTTGTCTCACTCTGTTTCTCAAAAATAAATAAATGTAAAAAAAATAAAAATAAAAAAAATAGTTTGCATTTTCTATCTAGAGTTGTATATAAATGGAATGATAGAATATGTATGATTTTTTTTCTGGCTTTTTTCACTCAGTGTAATTGTTTTAAGACTCATCAGTGATGTTGCATATATAAATAGATCATTCCTTTTTATTGCTGAGTAGTATTTCATTGTGAACCACAATTTGTTGGTCTTTTGACTTGTTGATGGTCATTTGGATTGTTTCCAGTTTTAGCGACCACTGAGACAAATAAGACTGCTATGAACATTTATACACAAGTCTTTGGATATATACATACATTCTTTAATTTGGGGTAGATACCCAGGAGTAACATGAATGAAACATATGGTAGGTGTGTACTTAACCTTACAGGAAAGTAAAAAACTGTTTCCCAAAGTAGTTTTACCATTTTACATTCCTGTCAACAGTATATGAGAGTTCTAGTTCCTCCATATCCTCAACAGCATTTAATATACTGTTTTTTTTTATTTTTTGCCATTCTGATAGGTATGTACCAGTTTGTCAGTGTGGTTTTAATCTGCACTTCCCTGAAGGCTAATGATGTTGATCATCTTTTCAGGGGTTTATTTGCCATTGGTATGGCTTGTTTTATGGCGTATTCTATTCTAATCTTCTATTATTTTAGTCTCTTTTTTCAAAGTTTATTTATTTATTTAGAGAGAACGGATGCATGTGTGCACAGGAGAGGGGCAGAGAGAGAGAGAGAGAGAGAGAATCCCAAGCAAGCTCTGCACTATCAGTGACAGAGCCTGACGCGGGACTTCATCCCAGGAACCGTGAGATCAAGACTTGGGCCGAGATCGAGTCAGATACTTACTCAACTGAGCCACCCAGGCACCCCTCTTTTGTCTGTTTTTTAATTGAGCTGTTTTCTTGTCACTGAGTTTGAGATTTCTCTATAAACTATAAATAGTTCTCTATTATGAACTAAGTTCTTTACCAGATATGTGATAAACAAATATTGTATCACAAGTCTTTGGCTTATCTTTTCATTCTCATTAGAGTATCTTTTTTTAAGTTTATTTATTTATATTCATAGAGAGCACGAAGGGGAAGGGCAGAGAGGGAGGGACAGAGAGAGAAGCTCGAGCAGACGCTGCGCTGTCAGCATAGAGCTCAATACAGGGCTTGAACTCAAGAACCATGAGATCATGACCTGAGCCAAAGTCGAGTCAGACGCTTAGCCAAATGAGCCACCCAGGTGCCCCTCATTATAGTATCTTCCAAACAGCACAAGCTTTATGTTTTTTGAAGTAAAATTTATCATGTTTAAAAATTGTGCTTTTGGATTTGTATGAAACCACAAAAGACCCCGAATAGCCAAAGAAATCCTGAAAAAGAA